AGGAGTGGGGGGGGGGGGGGGGGGGGGTAGAAAGAGGTAGTCGTGACCTATCTAAAGCAGCTGGTACGTATTCGCATCGGTAATGAGGGCACCTTCACACACTGCATTAATTTTAGTTCACTTACTACAGAACAGTAAGTAATCAGATTCCTTCATGTTTGATGGAATTTATACGCGATGGATAAGAGAGTTCATGTCACAACGATACGATCGTCTGAGACAACGTTAAATACCGGCCGATAAAATTTATGACCGATTTCAAATTAATCATCCGGCAGTGCACACCATCCGATATCCACGGACGGAACTACGACTTATGGGATCTGTGAGAGGCACCATTATGGAACCAGTAATCATACTATAATTCTAACTTATTTTATTTGTAGTTTATTTAACAACGCTTCTTCAGTATATCATACTTTTTTGCGAATGAGAGGATGATAGTGAATGATAAATTAGAAATGACGTGGAATGAAGCGGTCGTGGCTTAATTTAAGGTTCTATTCCGGAATTTGTCTGGAGGGACTGATTAAGGCCACGAAAAAGCAGGAGTGCCTAATTCGAACCGTGTGTCTTCCTAATCTAGAGCGTTACCGCTACACCAGAGGTTCTTGGTCTACAGCCATAGTGCACGTGACATTTTATACATTGTCTAGTCATCAGATAAAGTTAAATGCACGATAAGCCGGTGCTGGAGGCTTATTATTATTATCATGTATGCATATTGATGAAAGGGCCGTGATTGACGTCATAAGGTTTGCATACAGGGGCGGAAATGGATTTCCAGAACTAATTAGACGTTCCAGATCACTACAAAAGTCCGGGGGAATTTGTAACATATTATGTAGGAAATTATTGCTATAGGTTCGGATGTTTGTCCCCACGCGTAGCGTCGTTGAGAATGATTGTTATGACGTCTTAACGCACTTGAAGTAACTTCGTTAAGAGGGGACTCTGGAAGTAAACAGATGGCTCTTAGATCTACGAATGAAAATCATCTGAAAGACATAAAAATTTTAGTAAGTTTTCAACCGAAAAAATATATATGAGCGTGTAGGCCTACAGTAGAAATTACAATCTAAGGTGTCAATGACTCTTTAAGAGATCTAAGGTAACTTAACTTCACATGTCGTTACAACAGAGAAGAAAAACGCGGACAAGGTTACTTTAGTTTCCTGTTGAAAGTTTTAACCATTAACTTCTCAGTGTTGTCAGAAGATGATGTTGCGATTTTGTAAAACGCTGATGTATGTACGTCTATTAACATTACTGTAGATTTAAGAAGACGATTACTTCAACGTGGCCTCGAAGGGAAACGAACCTCCATCTGTATTAGGTAATTGAATATTATCAGCTCTGAAAACCTATGTTTGTTTTAGCATGCTGTATCAGCTGAAACCCCGCCACGGTGGCCTAGCGGTTAGAACGCTGGGGTCTCGGGTTCTATTCCCGGCGGTGCCCGAATTTATAACTTGTGTTGGGCAAGGCCGTGGTCTAGGCAACACGGAGTTTTCCTCCGTGGCATCCCAACAATTACTCCATTCACACACAGAAGAAGGCAATGGCAAACCACTTCTGGATCATCTGCCAAGAACGTATATGAACAGGTCCCAGTCCGAGAAAAGGTTGGAAGGATCCTGTTAATATGGACCTGTCGTCAGACAGAACACTAAATAATAATAATATAATCAGCTGAAAAGGTACCGTAGCGTCAGAGCGCCAGGACTTCGTTCTCAAGCAATTGCAGTCTGTCTGCCTTCTTCGAAGACCAAGTATCACTCCCGTTCGTAACACGAAAAATTATAATTTTCTTTACGTAGTTACATTGGAGAATGAAAAAAAAAGGATTGTAAATGCTGAATTTTTGTAATTTAATCTGCCCTTAACTTGTAGGATTTGCGGTTTCCACGGCGGTGAGTCTGAAGATGACTGTCTTTTGAGTTGTTGCGCCGAATAGTCTGGTAGAAGACAGAAATCTTCATACTCACCGTTGTGAAAACCTCAAATCTTACACAGTCTGGTAGAAGTTTACGAACGTTTCAGAGGTCCTTGCTGCCTCCATCATCAGGGAGATCTCGCGCCTTCAAAGGTGTAAATTGCAAGTTACATTGTTACTGACGTAAGACAAGATGATTTTCGTTTTCTGAATTACCTAAAATCAGTACGAAACCTAACGACAGGCGATAACCTCAACGTCCTGATGTTATAAATTATTCGTGTGATTCTGTCTCCATAAACCTAACCACGCACTTACGATTTCTATACGAATTCTTAGAATTAATCAATTGATTTTTAGGTTCTTGTACGACGTTTCGTTAAGTTGTTTAGCTTCAGATGTATTGAGAGCATGATTTTGTACTGTGAACAACAGAGGAAATAGTTTATAGCATTATCGTCTGGGTATTCAAGAGCCAATTAGAATATTTCGCAATACTTTAGTGATTTTAAGAGTATATGCGTTGGGAAATGTGCGACTAATGTAATGATTTTAGTGCGTTCGCTCTGTTATTGCGTCTTTATTTTTATTTCTTGATTAATAACTTTCGATGCTGTATAGCAAATGGCGTGAAATTGGCGTGACGGGCAAGTGAACCGGCATGGGGTTGGACGGGCATTAAATGTGATCAGAATAAGTCCAGGGGTTCTCGAACAGTATAAAATGATCTTCTTAATTAATATCTTACTGTCTTCAGGGAGACGTGAACTCAGTCAGCTTTAATTATACACACTGAGGTCATAATAGGGTCCGCAGTGGCCGCGCGGTCTGAGGCGTGGGCCTTGTGCCGCTTGGTCGCTGGGACCGTGGGTTCGAATTCCACTCAAGCCATGGATGTTTGTCCGCGTTTTTCTGTGTCGTGCTGTCCTGGGTACAGGTAGAGGCCTTGCGACGGGCCGATCCCTCGTCCAAGGAGTCCTACCGAATGTCCATAGATCAAAGCCAACGAAAAGTTGGGACCCGCAGTGCTCAGGCACTTGAAGAACGGGTCGTTCCCAGTATCCAGTATCCAAAGGTCATAATAACTACGTACCGAAATTAAATTGAGATTTTTACGGCCTCTGAAACGTCAGTATTATGGTATTATTAACACAAATTGATCGATTATGTTGAAACTTAATATGGCACATGACACTTTATCTGGATACTCTTTAATTTCCCTTCTTCAGTAATACCAACATGTGACCGTATGAGCTTGTGAGTTGAGAACTAAATTAACAACATTATGTGTTTGATTTTTGTGGTGCCAGGTTATTTGATTGATTCCATCTTTTTAAGGAAATTTAAACTAACATGACGACCACTTGAAATTTTTTTAAAAATAATAAATTGACGAGGCTATATCGACAGCTTTTCAATATTAATGACAAGTCACTATTCACTATTCATTCACTATTCTACATTTACCTTATGAAAGAGCGAGTCAGTTCGAAGTTCATGTCTTTACAGTAATGTCTTCCGATGAAATTAACCACGATCTCTTAATACAATTGAAGATATACGCCCACTCGACACGGTATTGGTTGTTTCGATTATATAATTGAAATATAAACAAGAAACAGACAGATGTAGAGAGTAAAGAAAACCTCACCAATATTAATTAAGCTACTTGCATTAAAGTCGCTTGAAAGGGATTTGAATAATGCAAAATATGTTAAAGTCAGCTGAAAGAACTGTTTAAAGTTTAATTTAAAGTAGGAACATATTGGAACGTGTGAAAATGGCTGTTTTTCCACATGTATTATTGAGAAGCAGACTAAAAGGCTATAATTTGTTTTGTTAACATAATGTGTTGTTGTGAACGTTCAGAAAGTGAGGATAAGTGGAGTTATGACGACATTTAGACACTTTTTAGTGCATGAAAAGGACGATATTTTTTGGAAAGCTGAAATCGGTAAGTAGACTTTTGCTATTGGAATACGAGAGATGAAGGAATTAAAGAATAACTTGAGAAATGAACCCTGGAGTATAAACTGCAGATTGTGGTCGAAGAGAAATTGAGGTGGTGAAAACAGTGTACAGGCAGGAACTGAACAAAATGATAAAGTATAAGAAAGCTGGCCTTGTAATCCTGGGGTCTCGGGTTCGATTCCCGGCGGTGCCCGAATTTATAACTTGTGTTGGGCAAGGCCGTGGTCTAGGCAACACGGAGTTTTCCTCCGGGGGCTTCCCCGGTTTCTCCGTGGCATCCCAACAATTACTCCATCCACACACAGAAGAAGGCAATGGCAAACCACTTCTGGATCATCTGCCAAGAACGTATCCCAGTCCCAGTCCGAGAAAATGATGGAAGGATCCTGTTCATATGGACCTGTCGTCAGACAGAACACTAAATAAATAATTAAGGAAACTAGTGTGGTTTGACATTCCCAAGTGATTTTTATGTACTGTGTCTTACGAGGCCAACTCCTTCACGAGTTTAGGCATACTAGATGCACTGAACTAATTATTTTCCGAAGTCCAATTCCTTTCGCAAACAGATCTACTTTTCTTCTCCGTTTTCCGATAAAATTAAAGTCACAGCTGCACGGACACCCGCAACCATTTTTTCTGTTGACGCCATTTTATTTTATACTGGGATCAGTGAATTTGCCTAAATGTAAACATGAGCTTGAATGCATGCAGCTGGAATTCAAGCGACTTGCGACTTGAAACGAACCTTTTGTCTCGTCAAGTTAGACGTGACTCGATTGTGTTAGAGTTTCTCTTTATGCTTTGAAATGGCATTTTTTTACTTCGCAAACAATCAACATAATACAGAAAACCTAGACATTTAGAGGCCGTTTTTCAAGGCAATTTATTTCTAATTTAAATCTATAACTTTTACACACAACGCAGGACAGCAGCGTGGGATGGCTCAATTGCTTCAACCCAGAGGGCAAGCAAACATACGTCACAGAACCTTATCTCCAGAGTGACAGAATCTTTCTAAGCTTCAAAGCGTCTCAATATGAGCAGTCGGAATTGTGTACAAGCTGCGTAGACAAACTGGACCATGTGACAACAAGCGGCCTTGAGAGCAGTCCGTGTGTAATGACAAATGTGTAGACTTGTAAAGTCGAAGTGCTAGATCTCAGAATATATAACGTCAAAGACGTGAACAGTCTGACAAAAGAAACTGATATTTTAAACTATGATGCTTGAATTATGACATACACGATTGATGAATTTTATACGTTTATTATTGTGGTTGTTTATATCTCTGTGAGTGTTAAAAACTATTGCATAGTACAAAGTGTAAATTTTGTTATTAATTCAATGCCTTACGTTGTGAACAACGTTAAGATAGGATCCTGAGTGTTCCTCGTTACTCCACTTGTGCGACATTTGGTTCCAGAATGTTTCCTGTCGATCGATAGTTTACCAATCAATTTGAAGCATGACCGACTCGACACAGCATAGAGGTATTCCCTCGAACCTCACGCGACCAAAGTCCCTGATTCCCCTAACAGCCTTCAGTGTTCAGGTGATGCAGCCAGCAGTTCGTCGAGAGTTCATGTCAGAATAGTGCTATAACACGTAATCTACTGGATAAATCCGGAGAAATCCGCTTGTAAGTTGGGACTGGATACCGCGTGTTGTACTGTTAGCCAAGGCAAACAGCAGATATCCTGCGATTGTACCTCCTCTGGCTCGTCAGTTGGGGCCCGACCTTCGGACAGCAACCATGACGACTATAGACGCTGATGGTGACATCTATGAGTTCCCGTATATCAGACCTGAGAAGCTGGGATGGGTCGACAGCTGGAAGAGGGAAATTTGGAACCCAGACACGCGCCAGTTTTTTGGTAGGACTGGGAAAAGCTGGGGTGAGTTTTCTTTCTCATAAAGCGCTTGCCTCAATGATAATCGAAAACTTATTAGTTAATGAATGCTAGACGATATTTCACACGTTGCTCTTGTAACACTCAGATCAGTAATAATAATATTTTAAATAAGAATAAGGATCTGTTAATAACTTTTAAACAAGTCGCCTGCTTAAGACAGATGTTAAATACAAGGAGTCTTTATCTGTAAAATATAAGTTCCCAATATTGTAATTAAACCTACACTCTCTGGTACTTACAAGCTCCATAACCAAGATGTCAACTCGAATATCTTCAGATGGTCAATGTTGCAGTGAGAGTCTCATGTATAAACATTAAGGCATTTTAACTGTTTATAGAGAAACTGAGTAACATGATATTAATTTAATGGCACCGGTACAAAACGCCGGTTGTGAGAAACACGCAGTTTCAAGCGATCTGAGTTCCATCTCGTGGTACAGTAGAAGACTAACGCATAGCGCGAAATATTAGATGTTGCTTTCAACACGAACACCAACACTATAGCTAAAAGCCGCAATGAAAGTGTGAAGAATGACTTGTTTCGATACGGGATCTCGTTTCATAATTAATAGACATGAACCGTTGTCTTTGCCTTATATAACAGAGATTTAGTAATTTTTTATGGCACATCACACGTGAATATAGAACTGTAACAAGAATTATATAAAATACCGAACGTCGGGCCCCTGTGCTGGGCAGTGCTGCTTCGTGTTCTGGAGGTCCTGTGTTCAAATCTCGATCCGGAGACAGGCTAAGATTTTTTTGTGATTTTCCTCAGTCTGATTATTACCTTAATTTATTACACGATCGCTTTCGTCTGCACCCTTTGCAATTAATTATTCTTTATGATCATTCATTGCTGAGAATAGTCGTGAGTTACTGATATTGTCGTTAAATAAATTAATAAATTAATGAAGCAATGTTCTTCCTGGGTAGTGAATAATCACTCACCCAGGGAATCCAACGTTTCATCGTGTTAAGAATAACCCACCACTGGGCTTTGCCCTGCGGTAGAACGTTCCAAATCACATTATTTGCTGGAGCCGGTTCACACTAAAATATCCAAACAGCTGGAAACCTGCCAGGTGTAGGTCAGGCCACGCGAAGATGAAATTATCAATAATACTCAACAACCAGGAAGGATAAATTATTTTATATGATTTATTTATTGTACAGAATTTACGACGGGCATGTTACCGTGCCTATACATCAGACATCATTATCGTAAAGGATCATTATAAATCGCAAAGTAAAAAGGTTCGCATTTAATAGCAAACGAGGCCACAAATATGTGCGTGTTTTTGTATGTGTGTATAGGCTTTACAAGTTTGCTATGGCAACTTAAGCAGTTATATTTATATTAACTTCAGAATTTTACAGTCATGCTAAATTTCCGTGAATGACATGTTAACTAGTGACAGTTTTCAAAATGTTTCAAGAAAATATACAAAGTTTCAATAATAATAAATGATAATGCATCTTGCGAGATTAATTTGAAGTATTCTAATAGTTGTGTCAACAAATTGTGTGTGTTTTATGCACAGTCTAGTATGTACAAGTTTAAGAACATAATTGGCATCAATCACTCTGTGAAAATAACATCCATAACATGACGCATTGTCAACAGTTTGATACCATTACACATGTTGACAAATATTCACATAAACTTATTTGAGACACCAATTTTCCTGCTATAACCTACTGTTACGCAGTAATAGGTCCTTCATAATAAGGTGGAAGTAGGCCATTTGATCGTACAATGTTATATTTCACTACAACAAAATTATTATTCTTCACGTCCAAACCTTCAATTTGCTTTTAGCCTATTGTGACGTGTTCTCGTAATAAGTGGGTCCTTTGTCACCACGACATGGTGCTTTATAGAACTGCTGCAGATGAAGGAAATTACTTTCACTTACATATTGAATAAGAAGTTACGGATAGGTGACAAAGATGATTCCCAGCTTGCAAAAAATAAAAAGCTCGCGTCTTACCAAAATTTATTTGGATTTTAAAACCAAAAGAAAGTAAAGAGAAGCTGGATGTAATTGCTCAAGAGGATCTTCATAATTTGTAGGCCTTCTTCTTCTTCTTCTTCTTCTTCTTCTTCTTCTTCTTCTTCTTCTTCTTCTTCGAACCAAGTTTTTGGGTTCTTCTTAAGCCAGGAGATTCTTGGCCTGCCAGGTCCCCTCATTCCGAATACTTTTCCCTGGATTATCAGCTGAAGCAGCCCGTATCTATCACAGTTTCTCATGATATGAGGATGTTGGCGATCAGCAAAGCAATTTGGACTTTACAGCCCTCCAGTGGACATCGAGAACCAAGTTTTTGGGTTCTTAAGCCAGGAGATTCTTGGCCTGCCAGGTCCCCTCATTCCGAATACTTTTCCCTGGATTATCAGCTGAAGCAGCCCGTATCTATCACAGTTTCTCATGATATGACCGGAATATTCCAACTCTCTCTTTTTTATGGTGTTAACAACCTCGACGTCTTTGCGGACTTATTGGAGAACTTTTTTGTTGGTTACACGGTCAGTCAAGGAAATTCTGAGAATACGTCGGTACAACCACATTTCGAAGGCCCCCAACTTTTTTGAAGAAGCTTCGGTCAACGTCCACGATTCAGCGCCGTATAAAAGCACGGAGAGAATATAACATCTGAGTAGTCCTAACTTGGTGTTTGAGTTTAAGGCTCTACTCCTGAACATTGATCCCATTTTGATGAAAGTAAAGGGAAGCTGGATGTAATTGTAATTTGTAGACCTACTCTTCATAAAATTTTATTAAGATGATCAAGAAGGGAAGATGAGGGGGCGAGGATTGTAGCACGCATGGAACATGAAAAATATATAAAAAATTTAGTCAGAGAACCTGAAGATATAAGACTTTTTTGACAACCTAAAGGTAGATGAAACGATGATATTAAAATGTATATTACAGGGCAGTATGGATGAAATCCATCTGAATAAGGATAGGAACCACCGGCTGGGTTGTTCTAAACTCGGCAATAAACCTTCGGTTTCTATAAAAGAAGGGGAATAACTGGCCTTTACAAATATTCAACCATAAATTTGAAACGAAGTCTAAAATCCACAAAATTAAGTCTGAAACTAACTACATGGCACCGGGCCTATTTCAGTACAAACTCAAATTTCAGCATGGAATCTATTTGTATATCTTTTTAGGAAAGAATAATTATTATATATAATACATTATTATTATGCATGATATAGCCTTTTGAAACAGAGCACGCGGATAAATGTCAACTACTGCTTGTATTTCATGTATTCTTGTCTTCGTTACAAGAAATATGTCCATGTGAAATACCTATAAGTTTACAGTACTTCAATAAAAGTGTAGCATATTTGGTCCCGAAATTAGTTTTAGTCCTACTATTAGGTCCATTTTGTGGTGTAAGATGAAAAGTCAATATATTACGATGCGTGCAGTGTAAAGTCCACTCAAACAAACAACATATGCCGAGCTGTATATCGTGCTATTTAAATATGGCTCAGTACATGTTACTTCATTACACATCTTTCAGAAGTACAGCTTATAGAAACTGAACCCCATTCTATTAACATTTATGGCACCTACAGATTTAGTTTCAATCGGAAACAGTGTATTTAGAGGTATTTTTCACTCTTGGCTCGAAGAATTGATTGTATATGTGTATTATTAAATAAATAGCTTACAAGGAAAGTTCAGTTGTGAGTGGTGAAAGAGAGTAATTTCAACCAGGACCGCTGTGCTTTCTAGGGAATAGGGTGACAAAGTCAATACGCATTGAATTGCAAGGGTTTACTCCAAATAGAATCGGCATGAGGAGTGCAGTCATAAAAATAAATGTTTCGCAGTTCCAGGTTGAAATCTTAACAGTTTCGTATTTTCTCTGACTTTGTGTGCAACATAGTTTTTCCAACTTCCTAGAGGGGCATACTTTCTAATTTGTATTCTTTATGAGGGGCACACAACCACCCTTGCCATTAGGCTGCACCGGCCATATTTGATTTCACTACAGGTAGCCCACGATTTGCGCCGATTTTGAAACCAGAAAGTCAAAAAGTGAAAAAAATATATTTTACTATTATTTATAACGTTTTACAATGTATCTCGTACTGATTCTTACACTAAATCGTAATTCGTACATCGCTGATTTTGAATAAAAATTATAAATACAGTCATCTCTGCAATTACGTGTGTTTCGTTAACGCGAATTTGCTCCAATGAGATCGATGAATCGGTAAAAGCTGTTTGTGAAATGCAAACTTTTGCATATGCGAGTTTGCTCTTATGCAATTTCATTCCTGGCGTTTTAAACTTCCGAAAGACTAATTTAATCTCTGCGGAGATACCGGGGTTATTTTTACTACGCGATTTTCTATAGGTCGGCGTCTTACATGAATGCAACTATCGCATAACAGCAGAGATGACTGTACACATCAGTCACATGAAAGAATCACAGTCAATCGCGGGGACCAACGAATTGCCGATTGTTAAGTGTATAAAATATATTTTTTAAATTTCTTTATTTTATTTACGTTATTTCAGAGCTTTAAATGTAATGCCATTATATTACTCGTCAATGTTTGGGTGCTGGGAACGCATGTCATTGACTTCCCATTGATTCACATTATAAATGAGTTTCAATTTACGCCGATTCCGTTTACGCCGGTTCGTTCAGGAACGCATCCCTGGCGTAAATCGAGTGCTACCTGTATAGTTAATGACGAAACTAACAAGTAGGAATGACGTTCACGACGAAATCAAGATCAGCTTAAATTCTGAGAATAATTTGCAAATACTCTGTTCGCCATCAAGTTCAAAACAGCCCTGACTCTGGCAGGACTCCAGTCCAATTAAATCGGTTAGTTGAAGAAGGACCCACAGGACTATCTATGTATGATTTCAGTTTTTCCAAAAGACAAAACACTGCCCCCTCATCTAGTCCACGAGAGTGGTTCTTTTTGTTGCTAAATATGC